TCGAAGTCTCCATTTTTATGGTCTTATTCCTCAAGATATCGGATATGAAAGTGAAGTTTGAGTTCATTTGTGTCGCTAATTGTGTCTCATTTGGTGATGATTTTAATTCATTTGCATTCATATCCTCCTCTTCAGTCACTTCTTGTTTGACATTAACTCTCAAATCACTTGAACTGCTTTTCGTGATAAAGTCTTCAATGGTGTCATTAATTGTCTCATCACTTGTTTCACTCTTATCTTCGGACGTGTCAGTGGCTCTGTTTGTGTCTCGTTTTGTAGTACTCTTTGCGTCCCTTTTGGTGACATTCGTCTTCTTGTGGAACAGTTTCACGTGTTCTGTGAATAACTCTTCAGATGGTAAGAGACGACCGCATGACTCGTAATTACACTCCAATATAGTGATGGAGTGCTTGTCCGCCATGTGTTCAGTCAATTGAGTCTCACTTTCGGTGACAAACTCGCAGTTAGTGTCCAAACAGTGAATATTTGTCGAGTTATGAGTTCCTAATGGGTTATCCATCTCTACATCATATGTAAACTGTTCCGCACTGTCGTTGACATCATATTTGAATGGTTTCTGGGGTTCAATGGCTACCAGAAGTCGTTTCCGTTTATTACTTCCCTTTCGTGACACAACTGGTGGTGAAGTCGATGAAAGAGTTGTTTTATTTGGAGTCACTTCAGGATTAAGAGATTTTGTACCACTATTTGATGCCTCAGTCAGTGGTAAAGGGATTTGACAACTCGTGTCAACACTTGAGTTATTTGAGCCATTGATGGCTTCCGAGGAATGGGTTTTCAAGTGAAGATCAAACGTGTCTTTGGTTTTGAATAGCTTTCCACAGCCGAACAGTTTACAGAAAAATAGTTTATTCACACATTTGGTGGTAATCTTATCATCGCTTTTCACCACTTGTTTAGTACTTCCAGTAGTTTTCAATTCAACTAATGAAGAGCCAAATGAATGATTAGTTTTAATCAAAGATAACATCTTTTGAGTCATATTTTGATTACCATTTGCTTTGGTTTTATTTTCACCACTTGTTTAGTACTTCCAGTAGTTTTCAATTCAACTAATGAAGAGCCAAATGAATGATTAGTTTTAATCAAAGATAACATCTTTTGAGTCATATTTTGATTACCATTTGCTTTGGTTTTTGTCTCACTTTCAGTGCCATCGCGTATGTTCTCATCGGAGGACATAATAATATCTTCATTCATAAAAATTTTAATAATTTCTGAGTCCGTGTTATATCTTATATGTGTCTTGAGATGTATTTTGAGACTTTCGTCGGAAGTAAACCTTTGATCATATCATAAGAATTACAATTAAACTGTTTATCCAAATATAGTTGACTCACAAACCTCTTCCCACAGCCTATGAATATATGTGTCTTGAGATGTATTTTGAGACTTTCGTCGGAAGTAAACCTTTGATCATATCATAAGAATTACAATTAAACTGTTTATCCAAATATAGTTGACTCACAAACCTCTTCCCACAGCCTATGAGCTGACACGAGAATGTCTCAACACTTGTAACGACAGACAACTCAGAGTCAGAAGTCTTGTGAGTCTTCAGATGTATTACGAGACTGTCTTTGGAGGCAAACCTTTGGTCACAAGAAATGCATTTAAATTTTGAATGACTGCTAACCATGTGATCCATCAGTTCCTTACTATCAATGGCTTTGTATTGACAGTCAGTTGCCATACATTTCACGTTTTTTATCACTGATTTTGCCATTGATTTACTCGTTCTCTGGTTTACTCTTTTCAGTACAACTAATGCTGGTATTTGTGCCTCACTTTCACTGCCATCGTATGGGTTGTCATCTGTGGCCACAATTATCTCTTCATTTGTGTCATTCCGTACTTCTTTGACTTCTTGTGGTAAGTGTTGACTCTTGAGTTGATTGTAGTTATGATTGAATGTATGAATGGTTTGTATTAAGTGTTGATTTTCATCGCATTTACAGTTTTGTATCAAAACTAATGCATTGTTTCTAATGTTATCCAAAATACACACAAATTGTCTC